AGGGGTTTATCAGGATGTTGCCTGGATTGGAGAGTATTAGCTATAAAGGAGAGGTTAGACAAACTTGGATTGTTTTCAGAATGTCAGAGACTGAAGAAGCATCTGACAGAACTATATAAAATTAGGGAGAGGCTTGGATAGTGTGGATAATCCTCCCAGAAAACGTCAAATAATAGGGGTCATAGGCTTAAGTTGAAAGGGATAAGTTTGAAGGAGATGTGTGAGGCATGCTTTTTTTTTTAAACACAAGGTGGTAGGTACCTGGAATGTACTGCCAGGGGAGGTAGTAGAAGCAGATACAACACCAACTTTTAAGAGGCATCTAGTCAGATACATGAACAAGCTGGAAAGACAGGGATACCGTCCACGTGCAGGCAGATGGGAAAACTAGTTCTACAGTTCTGAAGAAACCAGTTCTGAAAGGTCACTGAACCCAAAACATGAACTCTGATTTCTCTCCATAGACACTGCCAGACCTGCTGCATTTTTCCAGCAATTTCTGCTTGTGTGGTTGCAGGCAAATGGGATTGGTCTAGAATAGCATCATGGTTGGCACAGACATGCCTGTTCCTGTGCTGTATTGTTCTATATATGAAAACTGCAAACTGTGAAACCTCACTGTAATCTAGCATGTTTCAATTACTCCAAACAGCAAAGAAAAAGGACTTGCAACTTTAAGCCTGTTCCTCCCTTCACAAATGCTGTAGTGTTTATCTGTTTTTATTGAAGTTTAAGTGAAAACCTTTGAGGGCTGAATGAAGTACAATATTTTAAAGGGATAGCATTTCCCTTTTTGTATTGTACTTTTTGATGCAGGCTTATCAGAAATCACTAAACAGGTTATTAGCTACTTCAGACAATAAAAGAAGACACAAGGGGAAGACATGGAGACAACAGTCACTTGAAACCAATAAATTTCCTGCTTTACTCTTAATAAGCCATTAATTCACAGGCCAAAAACATACTTTTAAAAATCAACGGTACTTTATTAAGATGAAACAAGTTACAGCTGCTACAAGAAAAAATACATTTTGAAATTTTATCTACTTTGTCGACCATTTTGCAGTAATACAATTTAAAATTTTCACAAGATCAAATGGACAAATTCAGCTGCTGTGTAAAGTAACAGATGGCAAAAGCAAACAAATACAAGATAAAATTATGCTGCATTTATCACATTTCTATGAAGGTATTTGATCTGAACATTTGGAGAGGCCAGTCTTCTTTCAGAATTGTTTAGATTAAACATTGGAACATTTTCAATGTCACCGATCCAATTTTATCAAATTATGATGGTTCATTCCTGATGAATAATAGTGTTGCCTATTCAATAAATATTTAAATAAAACACTTATAAATTAAGCAGTGAATAATCTTCTGCACAATATTTAAAGTCAGTGGAATTAAACATAATCCACTCACTGAACGGCATATCCTAAACTCTATTGCTGGCAGACCAATCTTTTAAAGCAATATGTTAGCAGAGTTGTGAGATGCCTGGGCAGTTATGAATGACAAAGTGCTTTTGGGAAATTATACAAAAAAAATTACAATCCATGATGGCAGCAGAACGTACATCATCTGAAAAGGTTGCAACACTTCAGGGTTCCTATGGTTTTTGTTTTGGGATTCAACTTTGTACGTTATCCATGTTTGCTGCAGTATACTCAATCAAAGCTACTTAGTTATTGAGCACCATATTCCTACTCGTGTTATTTTTGTTACTTAGCGCAAGCTGATCAAGATTTTTTGTTTGAATAGTCAGGAATAGCCTGTTAAATTCTCAAAGCTGCCAAACAGATCTAACTTGACTGACAAAGCAAAAATGTTTCATGTTGGGAAATATAATTCCATTTGTTAGCATTTTGCAATGTATTTTTAGTGGATGATGAAGTTCAAGCTAGGAAGCAGTTGGTCCTCATTTCTGTATTGACAATGATTGCTAAAATGTCTCGATTACGTTGGGGCTTCTTTTGCATTCCCTTAAGGGATCCACAGTAAATGAGCATCGGGTGCAAGTAAATATTTCCTTACTGAATCCTGAGGGGGCTCAATCTACAATACTGAAATAGTTCTGAAGAAAGGAATGTGTGATAAAATTATGAAAACACTGGATTACTATTACTACCTTATTTCAGAAAGTTATACTATTTTCCATGTACAATGAATATTTGCATGCTGAAATGAGTCCAAACACAACATGTGCCATATGCCAGCACACTTTGTTTGTTAATGTTTAAAGTCAATGGGTCTCAAAGCCATTTAGCTTGCACCCATAATATCAGTTTCTGCTATGACTCTGAATCAAAAGTGTCTCCGAAGTGAAATGTGAAGGCTTCAGGTTATGTGAAATAACAACGATCTTTTGAAAAAGTATTTTACATCAGAGTTGGTCACCCAGGAAAAGAGCTATTCAATCATTTTTAAAAAGGGGTAGTAGCTGTCAAAGAAATGAAAGGTACATTACAAGAGCCAGATATATGGGTTCATGAAGGCAGAAACACATGTTCCTCCTGTAAGAAAGTAAGGCTCAACATGATACACAGGAGAATTGACTGCAATTAGATAAACAGCTGCTGCACTAAAAGATTGCACCATATGCAGTCAGCATCATATTAACAGTCAGTCACATAATTATTGCTGATTAAAGCTACAGATTTCAAAGATTGTTCAATGGGAGTGTGAATATTTATGAAAACAAAATCATGCTAAACATTTCCACCTGACAGAAAAAACTAAGTTTCCAAGGCTTTCTGAACAGGTGCTGGAAACAAGAATCATCTTTTTAGCGGGGTTCCTAATACGTGAGAGAAGTTAGCATTCTGCTTAGGAATCCCTAAAATAGGCTGAGATCTCTTGACAAGTGTAGCTTCAACTTACATTCCTCCTCTACGAACTGCTCTCATTGGTCCAAACTGGGACCGCTTAAATACAAGGCTCAAGGATTTGTAAATATGTTCAGGGTTGTTATTGGAGTTTAACTAAATGGACGACACTGATTTTACCACAAGATGCTGGTAGCAATATTTTTTTCAGATGAGATGTTTAAGCACCTACATAGCTTGCCCTCTGGGGCGTAGGATAAAGATACCATGTTTTGAAAAGACTTCTCACTGGTGTCACAGCTAATACTTGTCTCTCCAAAACCAAAAAACAAATAACCTAGGCATGATCACATTGCTGTTTATGGGACCTTGCTGTGTGTAAACTGGCTGCCATGTTTCCTACATTATAAAAGTGTGACAACACAAAGAACTTAAATTAGCAATTGAAGACTCTGAAATGTCCTGAGAGACACACACAAAATAAATGCAACTTTTCTTTTTAAATAAAGATCACAGGTTAGTGTTAAATGTGCTGCGGTCCTATGTGCAATCTTGAAAATTAGAAGGCTGCCTTAATGGTGATTGGTAATTGGTTTTTAAACTCAGTTCCTACACTCAACACAACCGTTTCAAAAAGGTGCATTATGTCCAGAGTCAGAAAAAGCAGCTGATGTATCTGATTGGTGTATAACTCTGCAGAAGTTATACACCAAAGTTTTCAGTTGAACACAGCTCCAAAGGAATGCTCTGATGAAAAATGCTGTAAGGAGTTCCAGTCAGAAAGAGATGAGAAAACACATGGATTTGGCTCTATTGATTGACTACTAGAAAACAACTACTGCTTTACGCTGTACTCTGTTTTCCATTCATATAATTTTGTTATTAGGAGTATAACCAAGAAATCATGACATGGCCTGTGGCGCTACTAATGACATTTATATAATGCTATTAAGGTAATGTCCCAAGGCCCTTCATAGGAAAATCTAAAAGCCACATAAAGGAGATATTAAGGTCAGACGACTGAAAACTTGGTCAAAGAGATCAGAACTTCTTAAAGGAGGTGGATGAGGAGGAGGAGTGTAGGGAAGGAATTCCAAGCCTTCAAAAGAACTGAAGACATGGTCATCAATGATGAAGTGATTAAAAGCAGGGATGCACAAGGGGCCAGAATTAGATATTGAATGTTATGGCACTGGAGGAGATTACAAGTGGGAGGGAGGTGAGAGGCTACATGTTTACAAGGTTCCCTCTGTGACTGTCCAAGTATGTCTATGACTATTTCTGTACACATGGGGTGTGTCCACGAGTGTGCGCCCATGTCAGTATCTCATGAGAAAGAGATTTTCCTTGTATTTTTCCATGATATACTTCGTTGTGTGTAGTGTCCATGTGTGTAAGATGGAGGGATTTGAAAATAAGGATGCGATCTTTAAAATTAGGACATCGACCGACTGATAGCCAATGTAGGTCAGAGAATAGGGCTGTTGGGGAACAAGACTTGGTGCAATTTGGGACTGGGCAGCAAAGTCCATGATGATTTCAAGTTTAGAGAACCATTCACCCCAAGTTGTATTCTTAAATATACTCAACAATTTCCATAATCATGCTGTGAATTGCATAATGCTGAAGGAACAGACATGTCAAAGGTTTTCATCCTGCACTTATCAGGACACATACAGAAATACCAAAATTCAAAGGGAACGTCAACTTGTACAGAAAATTGTTCTGATTGTCGGCAAGCAGACGAATAGGTCCAGGTATAGCCATGGATAAAAGTACCTGGGAGAAGTGGTTCCCAATCTTTTCTTTAAAAACAAAAAGGGCAAGTCAAATCTGAATTTTTGAGGCATTTGTTGTGGGAAATGCACCAGGAAACCGTTATCTCCCAATATTTTGTTTAACTGAAAAAGGTGCAATGCCTGGTCATTTTCTGTTTGTAAAGATCATGCAATATAAATTGTTGTTCCCTTTCAAATGTGATGTTTTTGCTTCTGATGAGTGCAACATGGAAAACTTTAACAGTGACTTTTTTACCTGCAATACTCAATCTGTATTCTTGCGAAATGTGTTCTAAAATAGAATAAAGCAGGAGGGCCCTTTCCAAAATGGTGGTCTACTGAAGGTATCTAATATTGTGGTGCAATATTGTAAAATAATAGCCAGGAACATTACAAGTGGTAACATAGGGCTCAATTTTAATGGATTCCTCAAATAATTCTCTGCTGTTACAAACTGAACTCAACTTGCAGCAAAATGCTTCAGTAGAGTTGACATTCACATAGTGCAGAACAAGGAGATACAAGGAGGACAATTGAATTTAACAACATAAAATTCCCAAAATGTAAACGGCTTTTTAACAAATGTGGAGTTCTTTATGATATGGTCAAAATATGTCAATGGCTTGGCAGAAGGCAATTTTGGCCAGTGCCATCATTCAGAGATACTTTTTCAATAAGCCAAATTATTAGCCATATTATGGCACGTAGCCACTGGAAAACACATACAAACCATAGACCTAATTCGGCACTTGCAAGGTCAGGTTAGTCATGGCTACAGTGCTGCTGGATCATAGCACTAATCCTCATACACACTGCAATCTATCACAAAAAAGTCAGAGCTAACCATGTGATTTCTAATATTAAGAAAGCACACCAAAACATTTGGAAGTTTGTGTACTGCAAGTCAAATTATTTCACCTAACGAAGTTCTGGAAGTAAATAAATAGCTTAAATAAAGATCAAAAGTTTTTCAGTACATCATGAAATTCTAGATCCTCAAATACATTTGAAAACAATAGGCTTAAATTAGTTTCTTTTTCAGAAAGACATGCACATAAAACCCTTAATAAAAAAGGATGTTTGCAGATTTGCAACTATTTCTATGTCAAATCGAGTTACGTACAACATTTAACAAAACAATAACGTTTATGAACAACCAATCAAACATTAGAGACAAACTCAGGAGGTAAGGCAGTATCTGCAGAGTGAACACAAGGCTTGAGGTTTTAGGCATCCTAGATTCCAAATGTTAACTCGTGTTCTCATAAATGCTGACTGTTTCCAATGTGTCCTGTATCTGTTCCAGTATTTTTATTATTTTTTTTCAGCTCAGGACAGTGCAGGTCAAATGTAGTTCACATGTAAACATGGGGATTCATTTGTGTGAAGTGCCATTTGGCAAGAGATGGACAATGAAAAGAAAATGAGACACGGACAAAGGAAGAACCAAGAAATGAGATGAAGTTGGTAATAAAACTAAGGGTGATGGCAATTACACAAACAACAATTTCAAACCAGAAGTTCAGGGTTAAGCATACCTCTGAAAATCCAATTAAAACTGGTAACTAAGTAGTACCTGAAAACAGGAATTATTTGCACAGATATGCCTGGAAAGAATATCCATGCAACATGACACTGCTGCTAGTCAATTTTTACATGGTAAAAGCCAACTTCAACCTCCGATCATAATCCATAATTTACAGAAACAAGACTCAACAAGGCTAAACAAGGTTGAAAATGGAACTGGTCAATTCCTGTCCTTAAAAATGGTTATCAGATTTCAGTAATGCAAAACAGCAACAAGAATTTAGAACTTTGGAAATTCATGTAACTGAAGTCATTGGCCTGACAAAATGTTAAATCAGACATTGCATGGAAAGCTGTTATTTTACACCATGTCAACATTCTACAGGATTAATCTAACCAAGATCTTTTGGCTAGGGATAACAAGTTCTCAATTCCCCCACCTGCAATAACATCATTGTCAAAACCCCAGAAATGCTTTCATATCAAACATTCAGCAATACCATCATCAAATTTATAGGAACAATATCAGAATGGTTCTCATTCATTGAAATGCGATTTCAGTGGTAGAGTACACATCTACCAACACAATTCAACCACAGAGGATACAGTTCACACAGCATGGTTATTTATGATCATTTCACCACTCAAACTATTGTAGAGCACACCAGCCACGTTTGATTTCACGTGCATGCTGCTTGGTGACATAAATAATGATACAGTCGAAGCTCTAGCTACAATGAAAGAGGGAGGAGTCATGATCACGCTAGGGTCTTACACAGAGTGATAAAGATGGTACGCAATTCCTTCCAGTGAATATCTCTGCCATTTTATGTATTGTTACATACATCCTGTAAAGTTTATATTTAGCTCAGGCACCTACATTTTAAAATCATTCTGCTTTGATTGTGCAAACAAAAAAAAGGCAAAACATTCAAGCAATAAATTATTTTAGACATAGATCAGGTGTATGGACTGATGAACAAGGATGCAGCAGCTTAAATGAGTATAGATAACACATTTTCACAGCGTGAAATATACAGGAAATCCTATATCAAAAACATTGTACACCAGTCATACAATCTGAAGATGTTACAATATTCTTTGTAATAAATCTTGGCCAAATTGGGCTTTAAATTTTCTTGAATTTAAAATCTATTTTTTTTCTGAGAATATTGATAATTAAATACAAAAACATCCATACAGAGTAAAATGTGACCCATAGCACTTTTTTTTTCCTCATAAAAGGTTTGTAAGCAATCTTGGAAGAATATATTTATTCTAACTAAAAGATATTTATTTGACACGGATTGTATTACCTGGGATCAAATGACGATAAATCATTTCTGACTGGCTTAAAAGCAAAGTGAGCCAAAGCAAAAGTCACTAGAAAACACATACTAGTGTTATTTCCAAGTTGAAACACCTTAAGGCAGTATTACTGCTAAAGCTGGGTACTTTTGTCTTAGGTATCACAATGATGTCACCTGAACCTATTAATGTATGAGACTGTAACCTTAGTTGGTGAATTTATGATCAGAAATGCATGCTGCATATAAAGATTGGCCCCACTAAAATGCAAGGCAGACTAACATTTTAAATTCATATTAAGGCATCTTAGAGGAGATAAACATTTGCCAAAATACTAAGACAGCATTATTTTCTAGCATTAAGATTTGGTATGTAGTACATAGATACACTGCAAAAATCGTATAAACAACGTGCAGTTTCTGGCTCAGTTCACATTGTTAATCACAGGTAGTCAAACCTTGTCATGAGCACGGAGACCCTCAGTCCTTCAATGGCAGATTGTATCGCTTTCAATGGTCAAACTGCAACTGTCAAAAAATTTCTTTATATAAAAAAAGCTAAAAATTGTCATCCAGACAAATAAGTTCTCTTGTATTGTATCCAGAAGCAACTAAGTTGGTCTTAATGTTTAAGAAAAGGAAGTCTTGGCAGTGAACATCGTCATGACATCTGGTTTGGGTCAAATTCCAATATTAACTGTTTGATGTGCGATAGCTTCCGGTGTAGGTACTCACAGCGAACCTTCTCTTCCTGATATGTGGGATGGGTCTGTTTCAAAAAAAAGGGAGGAAATAAAAACATTCACAATACTAAAATTGTTAAAAAAACACAAAATATAACAAAAAGCTTGTGAAGAGAGCCACAACTGAATTTTACAACGTGCATGAGAGAGACTGGGATAGATGGAGGAGGTACGCACTTAATTATTGCAAACATTTTATAGTTTAACTCATTGTTAATTTAGAAATAGTGACGGAAAGGCATAAGTTTCCATAGATATTGATGACCTCAGCGTCACTGAAATGAAGGGAAGAGTCAGAGGACAGACAGAACAATAGGACAAGAAGTTATTGAATAAATCTGGAGAGCTGATCAAGCTGAGATACAGGAAAATGGACTATGTCAAAATGAAGATTTTTTGCACTGCAAAGGAATGCATGCAAAATAAAACATGATCAACACTGAACTGATAAACAATATGACCATCTACAAAGCATTTTGAAAATACCTATTTCCCATATCACAACATTCCCAGGCAATTGCAATAAAAGACCAACAGCTAACAGAGAAATCCTCAAGTATTCTATAAGCACATCAATAGTAAAAAGGTGATAAAATGAGTAGCAGACCAATTAAGGAAAATGCTGATTTACAGTGGTAGCAATAGACATGGCTGAGGTGTGACATTAATATTTTGCATCTGTATTTATCTATGAGATAGATGTTGCCTAGGCCATGGTGACAGAAGGAAATTTTTATGTTAAGAAGTACTGGATAAGTTGTTGGTACTTAAGTTGACAAAGCACCTTGCGCTGATGGGATGCATCCAAGGAGAGTGAAGGATGCCAGAGTGGAAATTGCAGAGACACTGGCAATTATCTTTCGTTCTTCCCTAGACTCAGAGGCAGTCCTAGACGGTTTGCAGAATTGCAAGCATTACATCCTTGTTCAAAAATGGTTGAAAGAGATCCAGCAATTACAGACTAGGCAATTTAACTTTGGTGGTAAAGAAACTTCTAGAAACAATTATCCAGGAGAGTAATAATAGTCACAGAAAATAGGCATTAATTTGGAAGAGTTGGACTGGATTTGCTAAGAAAACATTGTATCTGACTAGCTTGCTAGAGTTTGTGAAGTAACAGAGAAAGTTGTCGAGCTCAAGGTTATTGATAGAGTGGACATGGACATTCAAAAGGCATTCAAATATGTGACACACAACAGACTCAAGGAAAGTGTTATGTAATGGAATAAAACGCACAGTAGCAATGTGGATAAAAAATTTGCTGAGTGAAAAGAAACAGAAAGTAATAGTTTTTTGGGTTTTTTTGAGCAAAGGAAGATTTGTAGTGGAATTCCCCAGGGGTTAGTATTGGGGCTTCTGATTTTTTTTTTGGTACATCATGTGGTAGATATGGGATCATTTCAAAGTTTGCAGACAACACAAATTGTGGAAGAACTGCAAGTGATGAGGATGGCAGTGTAGAACTTCAAAACAAACATTGACAAGTTAGTGGAGTGGGCCGATAGGTGCAGTTAAAGCTCAATGTGGAGAGTTGAGACACAATACACTTTGGAACAGGGAAAATGGAGAGACAGTATAAAATAAGGTGCTATTCTAAAAAGGTGTATATAAATCATTAGAGGTGGCAAGGCAGGAAGAGAGCGTGGTTAATAAAGCAGATAGCACTCTAGGCTTAAGTAACAGTGGCACAGAATAGAACAGCAGGGAGGTTATGTAGAACCTACGGGGAGTGCTTGGTTAGACCGCAGCTGGAGTACTGTGTACAGTTCTGGGCACCGACTTTAGGAAGGATGCAGACGCAACAGAGAACATGCAGAAGAGCTTTACGAGAATGAAGTTTCCCATCTATTAAACCAAGTATGAAGACAGACTGGAGAAGCTGGGTAAGAAAAAGGCTGTTGGGGGATGTGACAGAAGTTTTCATAATCATGAAGAATACAGACAAGATAGATAGGGGGAAACTGTTCCGACTCAAACAGAATCAAAACCATAGGGTACAGTTTGAAAGTGTTTCGCAAAAGCAAATACAAGGCAAGATAACATCCTTTTCACACAGGAATGCTCCGAGTTTGGAATGCACTGCATGAATCGGTGGTGGAGACAGTTCAACTGAGACATTCAAGACGGAATTTAATGACTATTAAAGTAGGAAAAAATGCAGGGTTACAAAGAAAAGGCAGGAGTTTGGCACAAAGTCATAATGCTCAGGGAGCAGGTGCAAACAAGATGGGCCAAATGCCCTCTTTCTGCACTGTGATGATTCAGTGAAATTGAAGGAAGCAAAATCTGGCACTTGATTTGTAAAGAACTAATGGTATAGTCTTTTCTAATTTAAAGCCGAAGAAATCAGCAAGAAAAACAGCTAAGCTACCTGGAAATTGTAATTCTGATCAATTGCATAAAACAACTTCCGAATTAACAAGATCAAAAAATTAGGTAAAACAATAAACCATCCTTACCCCAAAATGAGTAACCTACCTTTTTAAATTTCCTATATTCCTCAAATATTTGGTCCTCCACCATCTGAAATATATCAATAAAATAGGAATCAAGTTTTTACAACATAAGTGTATTAATACATCACGTCAAACATTCAAACATGGTTTCAGATATTAAGCATTAGATACAAAATTCACCTCTTACCCATTTTAAGTTATTAATTCATAAGGTCACAGCTTGTTGGTAAATAATTGTGATGTTCGAAAACAGAAATGGTTATGTTACACCTTTTAACACAAATTCAAAATACATATTCACTGCAATCAAAATTAACCATGGTCATCCAACATTACCAACTTAAATGATAATCTAAATTCGTATTTCACCAAGTTTATTTTAAATATAAGCCATTAGTTAAGCATTTTTAGAAGAATTTAAACAGGATAGAGTCAATTTTTTTTTCTAATGACTATGGTCTTCAACTATGAGTAATCAATCAGTAGGAAATGATAGTTTCATGAAACTCAATTAAAAGTTCAAAGGGAGTATGTAGAGACTGGGGCCACATTTGTCCTTACAATTTGTCTCCAATGATTCGGGTTATTGGGCTCTACTTTGGTGCTTCTGTTCCTTATCTGCTAGCTTATCCTTTTAAAGATCTGTGGACCTGGAGTTTCAGAAAGAGCTGTTTACATCACTCATGCCTAATTGACAGTCAGTTCCTAGAACAGAGCAATCGTGATTTTCTAGCACTGAGCTACAGCACGCAAACCAATTTCATTCACTTCAGTGGTTGCTGTGTTCCAACCGTCTCCAATTTCTGAATGGTCCTTGGGCAATATGAACAGGATACGGAAATTACTGTGGCTTCCAATCTTTTACTTTTCAAACTTTTACGTTATCTTAGGAAGTATACTGTCTTTGAATTATTGCAGTTCTTTTTTTTGAAAATTCATTCTACCACTCAATTTTACGTGTTGAGGTAACCGTGCTGTCAAACTTAATCCTATTCAGATTTTTAGGAAAGGAAGCCACAAATTGGGTTACAGCAGTGAAGAGCAAATGTGAGGCAGACTAGCCACTGTGAATGATCAAAGAGGAATCCAATTTTATGATGTCAGAAACAGTAGTTTAGGTTTAAACTGATGTAGATTTTATGACTCGTTTGTCTTTGCTCATTCAGTGTAAAGTCTGACATGGAGTACAGTGAGCAGCAAATCAGATTGCTCCAGCTTTTTAGCTGTCCTGAACTGGCACAAATCAGACAGGAAGGTAGCTGCATGTCATTCTATTTTAATAAATCCCCTCCTCTCACTACAACATGTTTAACACAATAGGCTACTGAATTAGAGATAGTAGGAACTGCAGATGCTGGAGAATCTGAGATAACAAGGTGTAGAGCTGGATGAACACAGCAGGCCAAGCAGCATCAGAGGAGCAGGAAGGCTGACGTTTTGGGCCTGG